GGGCGGCGGTGGCGCCTGACCAGTGGGCGTGGCCTTCACACAGCCATTGCACCCCTGCATCAGGTTGAATGGTGTCCCTCCAAATTTCACGTCCACACAGAACTTCAGACTTACGGCCTTATGGAGAATAGGGCCTTTGCAGATGTGATTAGTTGGCATGCAGTCCTGCTGGAGTAGGATGGGCCCTAAACCCAAAGACGCATCCTTATGAGAGAAGACAGAAAAGACCGCCACACGACAGAGACCAGAAGCTGGGACAGACCTGGGATCCTCGCCCTCACAGCATCCAGAGCTGGGACACGACAAATCCGTGTTTTGAGACACTGAGTTCGTGGTACAGCCACCGCAGGAAAGGAACGTGCCCCGCTGTCCCATCAGCTCTGAGCTGGTTTTTACCCCCATTTTGCAGTGGGGAGTGGTGGTGGTCTCAGCTGGGGGCAGGAGGGATGCTGACCCTGCTCTCTATATGGGCACCAGGCCCCCCAACCCCCCGGGGAAACGCAAACCACTTTCAGGTGGGCAGGACTGAACCCTGAGGCCCCAGCCCCCGACAAGACAGGACACACAAAGCTGTCATTCATTATGGCTTTATTTCTGATCGTCCGGCCGCGTCCCACAAGCATCCTGAGCTCCAACTGGTCAGCGATCCTGACCATGCGCCCTGGGGAGGAAGGACGCTCACGCGGCAACCACAGCTCGTCCACGGCTCACACACTCACACATTGGGAAGGATAGGATGGGCCGGGCGGGGCCGGGCCCATACCCGCCCCAGAGGTGGCCGGGCACTCGGTAAACAGTCTTTGGGGGAGACAGGCCACTGGGCAGGGAGAGGGTGGGATGAGACAGAGCACCTGCAGCCTCCACGCCTGCCCCTCCCAGGCCTAACAGGATGGTCAGCGGAGCCAGGAGTCCCCAGGAGCCCGTTCCCTCCAGTGAGCGTCGGGAGGCTTTGGGAGAGAGCCAGTCCCCAGCCCCTCCAGGCCCCTCAGAACTGGAAGGCAGGCGAGCCCTCCCTGGTGGCCAGGAGGCCCCTGGAGTCCCCTCTCCTGGACCCTGGTCCCCCAGCACTCAACACTTAACTGACTGTATTGCTAATGAATCTGGGTCTCCCTGAGGTCAGTCCCAGCCCTGCCCCCTCCACCCCTTCCGAGCGGCTCAGGCCCCACCAGGCACCTGGTTTGTGGGGCTCAGGCCCAGACCCGCTCCCTCAGGGTCGCAGGAAGAGCTGCTCCCACGGTCACGTCTCCTCCTGGGGGGGGGGGGGGGGTGCCCACTCCCCCCGAAGGCATCCTCCTCCTTGCACATGTGGAAACCAAGGCCCAAGGAAAGGGGCAGAAGGGCCGCCCCCCACCCCGGGGGCTCCACAGGGGGACAGGCTGAGCGCGGAGCCCCAGGAGTCCAGGGCAGGGGCAGGAGGGGCAGAGGCAGCGCGAAGCAAGGTGAGCAGCGCAAGGGCCCCTGGGGAGGCTGCCAGGTGTTCAAGGCGCTAGCCACCCAAGGGGGCTCAGGGAAGTCGCGTCCCAGGGCTGGCTGGGTGAGGGCACAAGGCTGTGAGGGGGCGGCCAGAACCCGGAAACCCAGAGGCGGCGCCACCATCTCCAGACGGGAGGGAAGGGAGTACCCGGGTCGACGGAGCGGGTGGGGACAGCCTCGAGGTCAGACGCAGAGCCAGCACGGGGGTGGCCTGGCCCTGACCCTGTTGGCCTGCGACCACCAGGTCCACGGGCAGCATCACGGGTGGGGGTGAGGCCGAGGCTGAGCTGGGCACGGTTCCTCTTTCCTGGCGTGGCTTACGCACCCCGAGGGCCGCGGGGCCGACTCCAGGGCAGGGGCTCATCCACACGTCTGTCCCCGAGTCCGCGGCCAGGCCCCAGACCAGACAGACCTCCACCAGCGCTCCTCCCAGGGAGCTCAAAGGATAAACAAGAGAAAGCAGCCCCCAAATCCTCAAGAGCAACACAGAAAAGCTCTGTAATTCAGGGTTACAGCCGCCGAGGCCGAGGGGCAAGGCCCTGCCCTCCTGCCGGCGCCGAGCAGCCGCGTCACTGCGTCTTGGCCTTCAGCAGTCTCTGAACTGTTTTGTACAGGAGGTCGAAGTGCTGGGGGCAGCGGGAGGGCTCCAGTGAGGTCGTGCGACCCCGCCAACAGGAAGGCCCTCGGGCCGCCCAAGGGGTCTCCTGAGAGGCCTCGCATTCCCCAGTCCCCTGCTCACCTGGACCGCCGTGTAGGCCATCCCGAGGTAGGCGCCGATGCAGACGGCCAGAAGCAGGTCGAAAATGGCCGGCTTGACCCTGGGGAGGGGAGGGGGAGGCGGGGTGGGTCAGTGGGCTGCTCCCCAGCTGTCCCGAGGACCCAGTCCCCGGGACGGTGACCCAGGGTGCTCACCTGTAGGCGTTCATCACCTGCTTCAGCTGGTCGTAGAAGACAAACTCAGGGTCCCTGGTGAGAGAGCGCTTTCTCAGCAGGCTCACCCTGATAGCAGGGCCACCGGAGGTCCCACCAGCCTAGGAACGTGGCGGGGGAAGGGGGCACCCCAGATGTGTGCCTGCACAAGGCTGCCACTGTCCCTCCTGGGGAAGGACCGTGCTTTATTCCCAACTAATGTCTTTCCTGTTGCTTTCTCGGGTGTACTCTCTAAAACGTAGTGTGATAACTGTGAAAATTATCTGGTCTGGGAAGCCTTTCTATAGAGGGAGAACGACCACAGCCTAGGAATTGGAGGCCCCCAGCTCCACAGCTGTGGGTCCACTCTGAGCCTCAGTTTCTTCTTCTATTCAAGAGCTTGCTCTCCCTGGAGCATCAAGAGTTGGGAAGAAGGTGGAGAGCCAGCGAGGGGCACCAAGCTTTCCGGGGGGTGTCTCCTGCCTATGGATCCCCCAGACACCCCTCCTCGGTCCTTGCTCAGCCCAACCAGGGAGCATGGGAGCCCTGAACAGAAAGAAGACAAAACTCAGGAGGCATGCAGTGGGGAAGGGCATCCCGAGGGCAGGAGGGGACCTGGGGTATGAGTCACCCGAGGCCCAGAACACAAAAGGTCCACGAAGGGTAGCTGGGAGTATAGGGCTGCCACATAAAACACAGGGCTTCAGTTCTACGAGGTCTGCAGATACAGAAGAAATGGGCTTTCAGTGTAAGTATGTCCCAGACACTGCGGGGGCTATACTTACACTGAGACAATTGTGGTTCACCTGGAACTCGTTTAACGGGGCACCTGCACTTCTCACTTATTGTTTTATTTTTCAACCAGTGTTTCTGTCTGCTCCATCCGGCCCTGGGAGGAGGAAGGCCCCAGAAGAGCCCACCAACTGGCTGGCGGGGCGGCGCCCGGCCTCACCGCTTGTCGGCCTTGACGTGGTGCGGCCTGACCTCCTTCAGGTAGTGGCCGAGGTGGTGCTGCAACGTGCTGAGGAACGTGCCGTCCTTGCCCACCAGCTGGGCGGCCCGTGGCTGGGCGGTCAGCCAGTCCATCACCGAGTCCAGCTGTTCCCGCTGGATCTGCTGCGGGGAAGCGGCCGTGGTCACGGGACCCTGCCCCACCCCACCAGCCCCCCCCGCC